TGATGGGTCTGATGCCGTGCTCCTTCCTAAAGTGAATGTGACTTGACCTGACTAGGTTGGGTCATTGGCTTAAGCCAGTAGGAGATTCGGACCTGCCTCGGGAGTTGTTTCACCATTTGTTGGCTGTGTAATAATGTCGATGTTCATTCGAGGATTTTCTTGATGATCCACACAGTGTCAGGATTATTATTATTATTATAATAATCATGGGGGAGCGCTAAACCCAAAGGATTATACAGCGCAAGTGGGGGGATGAAAGGCATTCAGGCTCAATTCAGGGAACTGGAGCACAGATCCAATTCCCTAGATCAAGAGCCCCTCACCAACATCAAGGAACCTCCCCTGAGGGGAGTGTCAGGAGGAATTCATCAGCTTTAGCTATGTCAGTCTTAACTACATTAACTTGGCTGTTTTCATTTTTACCCTCAACAGTTCATTTTTCTCTCAGAATCTTAAGGCTTTTATTTTCCTTTTTTGGAAAATATTGGATGTTAAATCCCATCCAGTCATTGTGTGTAGGAAAAGAAACATTTCGTGTCTGGTTGCTTGGAAATTTTGATTACATTTGCCTCTCTGCTGCCTGTCTGTAGTCTGAGGAACCAAAGCTCTTGTTTTGTGGAAGTGATGCAACGCCAAAAGGGTCATCGTATCTTGGCCGACCACAATAAAAGAATCAGTATCAACTGCATGTTGTAAAGCAACATGTGGCTGATGCTAATTAATAGTCCAGTCATTCTAGGGTTTTATCTTGAAAAAACTTCCCAATAAAATTGCACATACATACATGTAGTTCTAGTCCCTTGTAACAACATCAGTAATCAGCACCTGAAAAATGTAGGCCATTTTTGCATTTTTTGTGTAATAACTCTTGAAAGGTTGAACACATCAAAACAATGCTTTAAAGAAAAATGTAGAGAACAACATTTTTAGTTATTTCCATTTTTATCATAAGTGGAGCGGGAACCAAGCTACAGCTGAAATAAAAGTTGCCATTTTTATATTTTACAATTTTCCATTAAAAACTACATAATTTTCGAAGTACAACGAATGGAGTTTCACTTTAGAAAAAAGTATTCTTAATATATATGGGACAATTATGTTTCTGAATAAAAAAATATGTGACACCATAGCAACATCCACTGCTCCACCACAGTCATCAAGCCAAACATTACCTCACCACAGTCATCAAGCCAAACACTGCTCCACCACAGACAGTCATCAAGCCAAACGCTGCTCCAACACTGACAGTCATCAAGCCAAACACTACCCCACCACAGACAGTCATCAAGCCAAACGCTGCTCCAACACTGACAGTCATCAAGCCAAACACTGCTCCACCACAGTCATAAAACCAAATACTGCCCCACCACAGTCATAAAACCAAACACTGCCTCACCACAGTCATCAAGCCAAACACTACCCTACCACAGTCATCAAGCCAAACGCTGCTCCAACACCGACCGTCATCAAGCCAAACACTGCTCCACCACAGTCACAACAACTTACCACACTCATCAAGCCTAAATACCTCACCACAGACAGTCATCAAGCCAAACGCTGCTCCAACACCGACCGTCATCAAGCCAAACACTGCTCCACCACAGTCATCAAACCAAACATTACCTCACCACAGTCATCAAGCCAAACACTACCCCACCACAGACAGTCATCAAGCCAAACACTGCCCACACGACGTCATCAAGCAAACACTGCTCACCAAGTCATCAAACAACTTACTCACCACAGTCATCAAGCCAAACACTACCCCACACAGACAGTCATCAAGCCAAACGCTGCTCCAACACGACCGTCATCAAGCCAAACACTGCCCACCACAGTCATAAACCAAACACTGCCCACCACAGACAGTCATCAAGCCAAACACTGCTCCACCACAGACAGTCATCAAGCCAAACACTGCTCCACCCCCAGCCAGAGTAGAAACATTGGACGTGTTTCTTTCAACCTGTTCTAAAGTTCCCCATCAGTAATATGGTACCTGGTGTTAGTCGAACTGGTGTGGGTCGATCTGGGACACTGACCTAAGGGGCCTGGACACAACGGCCGCGGGTTGACCCGGAACTTCTCCAGTAACTCCAGTAACCACAGTCATAAAACCAAACACTGCCCCACCAACAACAGTATCAAGCCAAACACTGCTTCCACCACAGACAGTCATCAAGCCAAACACTGCTCCACCACAGTCATCAAGCCAAACACTGCTCCACCACAGTCATAAAACCAAACACTGCCTCACCACAGTCATCAAGCCAAACACTGCCCCACCACAGTCATCAAGCCAAACACTGCTCCACCCCAGACAGTCATCAAGCCAAACACTGCTCCACCCCAGACAGTCATCAAGCCAAACACTGCCCCACCACAGTCATCAAGCCAAATGCTGCTTCACCACAGACAGTCATCAAGCCAAACACTGCCCCACCACAGTCATCAAGCCAAACACTGCTCCACCAATCATAAAACCAAACACTGCCTCACCACAGTCATCAAGCCAAACACTGCTTCACCACAGACAGTCATCAAGCCAAACACTGCCCCACCACAGACAGTCATCAAGCCAAACACTACCACCACAGTCATCAGGCCAAACACTGCCCTGCCACAAACGGTCAAGCCAAACATTGTCCCATCAGAGTAATCAAGCCAAACACTGCCCCACCACAGACAGTAATCAGGCCAAACACTGCTCCACCACAGATGGTCAAACCAAACACTGCCCCATCACAGACAGACATCAGGCCAAACACTGCCCCAATTAATCAATTTTATCAAAACTCACAATTCACAAGGGCCCACGATTTGTAATGTAGAATGTAAGCTAAAATCTGCAGACTGCAAGTCTGGGCAGTGAAAACACAAGTTGATGAGCTCCTAACCCAACATCAGACTGCAAATGAGAAATGCATGGCCAACAGATCGATTATAGTAGTACCAACACCAAACTTCTCCTTTTATCTCTTCTTGCCCACCAAAGAACCAAAACCCCTGGGGCAGACTCAACTTTCAGGTGAGTGACAAAGAATGTGGGTTTTACGCATGGCAAATGCACGAGGTAACATTTAGCAGAGCCTTCACCCTGGTGAGGGAAGGCTACACCAGCAGTCTCTCTCCAGAAAGGAATTGTCTTCAAAGAAAGCTTCCACAAAAGCAGGTAATGATTAAATAATAGAACTAAATAACAAAATACATCTTTATTAAGAGATTCATCACACAGTAGACTACAGATAATTTTTTGTTTGTATCCAGTACATACATCAAAACTGAAGTAAATACAATATAGAATGGCCCATTACACCCTTTCTTCTCTTTAAAATACAAGTGCATTCCAGGCCCATGGCAGTTGTACTAAGCTCAATCTGGTCTTTAATAATTACTTCCAAATAACTCTTCGGTATGTTCTGTGTACTCACTAATTGCATACGGTAATTGTATATTGCATATACATATTGAACTGGGGAGAAAAGATATACAGGGCGTCCACAAAAACACTCCCTGATTTCAAACAGGTATAACATGTAACTTTATTGTAATAATCTTTCACAGTTAGTAGCTTCAGATGCAGGATTTTATTCAGTTTCATATGGTATAGGGTAGCATTAAGGGCACTCAATGTGCATCCCTCTGGTTGCTTGGCAAACATCGATGCGATGGTCCAGTTTGGTCCAGACGCTCTGCAGCATGTCTGGTGTTATCATGCGAATTGCTTCAGTTATCAAAATTTTCAGCTCCTCCAGGGTTGCAGGTAGTAGTGGTACATAAACTGTGCTCTTCACATTCCCCCAAAGAAAGAAGTCACAAAGTTAGGTCCAGTGACCTCACAGGCCACTTGCACAGGTCACTGGACCTGTTTGTGACTTCTTTCTTTGGGGGTAACTGAAGAGCACAGTTTATGCACCACCACTACCTGCAACCCTGGGGGAGCTGAAAATTTTGATCACTGAAGCAGTTCGCATGATAACACCAGATATGCTGCAGAGCACCTAGACTGAACTGGGCTATCGCATCAATGTTTGCCGAGCAACCAGAGGGGCGCACATCGAGTGCCTTTAATGCTACCTTACACCACATGAAACTGAATGAAATCCTGCATTTGAAGCTACTAACTCTGAAAGATTATTATAATAAAGTTACATGTTAAACCTGTTTGAAATCAGGGAGTGTTTTTGTGGACACCCTGTACAATGCTGGCATGATGGTATAATGTGATTATTGACAATGTTTAGCCCATACCGATGACTTTGTCAGGTCACAAAAAAGCCTGAATGGGTAGCACAGTGAGATGTGATATATGGTGTGCAGGTCCTCTCAGTGGTGTGAAGTTAGCATGCCAGCTCTTATTAGCATTTCCAGTAATTTCAACAGTAATAGAAGTCTTTTAGAACATACAGTAGCTGAACCTCTTGCCATTTGATAAACTTCTATATCATCTTCCCACATAACAGCTCAGAGGACAATTGCAGTGCCCTGCAAACATCAGTGCAGTGACATGCCTGACCTCACACCACTACAATGACCTGCACACAACATACCTCACTTCACTCTACTTCCCTACATATAGTGGTACCTCGAGTTACGAACTTAATTTGTTTCAGAAGGCTGTCCGAGTACTGATACTGAATGAATTTGTTCCCATAAGGAATAATGTAGATTAGATTAGTCCGTTTCAGACCCCCAAAAATACACTTACAAAAGCACTTACAAAAATACACTTACATAATTGTTTGAGTTGGGAGCTGTTCGAAACTCGAGGTACTCACCTTTCCCATTCATCCAAGTTTGCCAGTAACAATAATGTGCACTGTGTGGGCAGAGCACCATCAAGAATCACATTATACATTATTTGTCTCTCTTAACATATATGGAGCTACCAACAGAAATGGTACATGGTATAATAGTGAATTTACAAAAAAGTGAACTCAAAGTGGAAAAAAAGGTGTATTTCAAAATATCACACCACTTCCCATGAGTGAATATACAACTTTTCACTTTTTTTTTTTTTTTGCAAACACGTCAACTATTGCAGCACCAATCACATTGGCAGCCTTTGTTTACTTTGTCAGTATTAGTAATCACTGATGATGAAAAAATATAAATAATTTGATCAGCTTATTCCCATCATACCTGACTTAGCACTATATATGGTGTCCATCCCTCACTCATGTGGTGATGGTAGCAGCTGTGATATGGGAGGATTGTGGGAAGAGAGGGAGGGTTGTAGTGAGAATAGGGAGTACCTGGGTATATACTTCCCTTAGGTTACAATGGAAAAATTATAATATAAGACAAAAAAAAAAGTGTTTCATGAACAGAAAATAGGCAGCCACTGTGCATAGCTCTTCTAAAACAGTCATAGTTCAACTGTTCATGGCACTGTTTTGCAACAGTGCCATGATGTCTGTGGTTTAGAAGATGAGCTGTACTGCAGGGAAGATTGTGATATAGATAAGCTTATGCCTGACTAGCACCATGTCAGTCTCCATTATGTATGGGACATAATAAATGGCCCAACAAACCAACTTAATGATTAACCCTTAAACGGTCCAAACATATGTATACATTCTCTCGCGTAGCACCCCAAGCGTATATATATGTTTTATTTGTCATTTATTCAACATTGGCATGATAGGCCTGAGTCTCCTAGACAAGAGAGAATGGGTGTGCGCACTCAGTGTGCAACATATAAAAAAATTGGGGATGCCTGGGTACCACATGCTCTTTTTTCCTATAAAAAAAAAAATTGTTTTTCTTTTCTCAAAATATTCAAGGCGCTGCGCAGGTGAACATATATATACATTTGGACCATTTAAGGATTAATTAAATTCCCTGACAATACTGTAGTAAACAAATCTGAACAATCCATATATGCATAAAATACAAATGCAAAAAATGCATATAACTCAGTTCTTAACAAAATAATTATTAAATCTACATCATCACAATTACTTTCAAAAGTAAGAGTGGAATGGTAAACTTATATGGGTCATACAGTGTCTGGGGATATGAAAAGCAATCAGGTTCCATTCAAGGAAGAAGAGGTCAGCCTCAATTCCTTGGATAAAGAACCCTTACTGGCACCATGAAACCTCCCTCGAAGAGCTATTAAATCTAGTTCTTGATCAGTCTCTGAATAAACTGGAACCCTCCACATATGCAAAATAGGAAGAAAGATGAACTCTCCACACATACAAAACATCAGACAGCAATTTACATCCCATTTAATATAGTGCAAAATGTACACTACATAAAAAAATTCGTACTTATCATGGAACAAGTGGGGTTTGAACCCACAGCAAGGTAGTCCTAAAACTCACAGGCCAGTGCATTAACTGCTCAGCAACCATGCAGACCAACAAAGGGAAAGCTAAGTGCAGAAAATTGTTTCAAAATCATTTGTGTGAAGTGTAATACACTGACACTTCATCAAGCAATGTTACAAGGTGAATGAAAAAATCATTGAAGTTACTACATTTTTTCAAGCATTATGTGCATCACTGTGATTAGTTAACCCTTAAACTCTTTCTCATGTAGATATACAGCCTTGTATGAACCTGTTTACTATACAGATACATGGGTGTGCATGTAAGTGTTAACCCCACACATTTCCAGTCATGTGTGGAGTTGTTTACAACATAGATCTAAGGCCACATGTGCAACTATTTACACCACACATCTACAGCCACATGTGGAGCTGTTTACCCTGTAGATTTATGGCTGCATACAGAATTGATTATTACAAAGAGCTATGAAGCTTACAAAATAAACTGAGAAAACTGACTACAGAGTGGGTAGCACAGACCCAGCAGGAAACAATTTAAAGCTTAGAAAATAAAGCTTAATCAAATATATCATCTGAATATTCTGCAAAACCACTATTTGGAGTCTCTTTCTTATTTTCAGTATCAGTAACCTTGGACTCATCTTCCTGAAACTGCAGACGAGCTGATGCAAGGAACTTGCCCCGGGCATTGCTACTGTCTGAAACAAAAGCTGGAGGCTCTTCCAGTGTGAGAGCTTCCATGGGTGGAACAAGTACAGCAGTATTTCCAGCATCAGGCACTTCAGATGGGTTGAGCTCTGGTATGGCTGTTGGTACTGGTGGTGGTGACTGACACACTGACTCTTCAACTGGCTGTATGGAAAAAAAAAAATATATATACAGTGGACCCCCGCATAACGATCACCTCCGAATGCGACCAATTATGTAAGTGTATTTATGTAAGTGCATTTGTACGTGTATGTTTGGGGGTCTGAAATGGACTAATCTACTTCACAATATTCCTTATGGGAACAAATTCGGTCAGTACTGGCACCTGAACATACTTCTGGAGTGAAAAAATATCGTTAACCGGGGGTCCACTGTATATATACTGCCTCCAACCGTCTCCTCACTGCTGCATTTACCACCCAAGCTTCACATCCATATAAGAGTGTTGGTACTACTAAACTTTCATACATTCCCTTCTTTGCCTCCATAGATAACGTTTTTTGACTCCACATATACCTCAACGCACCACTCACCTTTTTTCCCTCATCAATTCTATGATTAACCTCATCCTTCATAAATCCATCTGCCGACACGTCAACTCCCAAGTATCCGAAAACATTCACTTCTTCCATACTCCTCCTCCCCAATTTGATATCCAATTTTTCTTTATCTAAATCATTTGATACCCTCATCACCTTACTCTTTTCTATGTTCACTTTCAACTTTCTACCTTTACACACATTCTCAAACTCATCCACTAACCTTTGCAATTTTTCTTTAGAATCTCCCATAAGCACAGCAAAAAGTAACTGTGTCAATTCCCATTTTGAATTTGATTCCCCAAAATTTAATCCCACCCCTCTCCCGAACACCCTAGCATTTACTTCCTTTACAACCCCATCTATAAATATATTAAACAACCATGGTGACATTACACATCCCTGTCTAAGACCTACTTTTACCGGGAAGTAGTCTCCCTCTCTTCTACACACTCTAACCTGAGCCTCACTATCCTCATAAAAACTCTTTACAGCATTTAATAACTTACCACCTATTCCATATACTTGCAAACATCTGCCACATTGCTCCTCTATCCACTCTATCATATGCCTTTTCTAAATCCATAAATGCAATAAAAACTTCCCTACCTTTATCTAAATACTGTTCACATATATGCTTCAATGTAAACACTTGATCTACACATCCCCTACCCACTCTGAAACCTCCTTGCTCATCCGCAACCCTACATTCTGTCTTACCTCTAATTCTTTCAATTATAACCCTACCGTACACTTTTCCTGGTATACTCAGTAAGCTTATTCCTCTATAATTTTTACAGTCTCTTTTGTCCCCTTTCCCTTTATATAAAGGGACTATACATGCTCTCTGCCAATCCCTAGGTGCCTTCCCCTCTTTCATACATTTATTAAACAAAAGTACCAACCACTCCAACACTATATCCCCCCCTGCTTTTAACATTTCTGTCATGATCCCATCAGTTCCAGCTGCTTTACCCCCTTTCATTTTACGTAATGCCTCACGTACCTCCCCCACACTTACATTCTGCTCTTCTTCACTCCTAAAAGGTGGTATACCTCCCTGACCAGTGCATGAAATTACTGCCTCTGTTTCTTCCTTAACATTTAAAAGTTCCTCAAAATATTCTTGCCATCTACCTAATACCTCCATCCCCTACTCTGTTTTTAACTGACAAATCCATACTTTCCCTAGGATTATGTGGAGTAAAATAAAGATTGGATGTGAAAAGTGGGTTATAGTAAGCGTATATGCACCTGGAGAAGAGAAAAGTGTAGAGGAGAGAGAGAGATTCTGGGAAATGTTGAGTGAATGCATGGGGAGTTTTGAATCAAGTGTGAGAGTAATGGTGGTTGGGGATTTCAATGCTAAAGTGGGTAAAAATGTTATGGAGGGAGTAGTAGGTAAATTTGGGGTGCCAGGGGTAAATGTAAATGGGGAGCCTTTAATTGAGCTATGTGTAGAAAGAAATTTGGTAATAAGTAATACATATTTTATGAAAAAGAGGATAAATAAATATACAAGGTATGATGTAGCACGTAATGAAAGTAGTCTGTTAGATTATGTATTGGTGGATAAAAGGTTGATGGGTAGGCTCCAGGATGTACATGTTTATAGAGGGGCAACTGATATATCGGATCATTATTTAGTTGTAGCTACAGTTAGAGTAAGAGGTAGATGGGAAAAGAGGAAGGTGGCAACAACAAGTAAGAGGGAGGTGAAAGTGTATAAAATAAGGGAAGAGGAAGTTCGGGCGAGATATGAGCGACTATTGGCAGAAAGGTGGGCTAGTGCAAAGATGAGTACTGGGGGGGTTGAAGAGGGTTGGAATAGTTTTAAAAATGCAGTATTAGAATGTGGGGCAGAAGTTTTGTGGTTATAGGAGGGTGGGGGCAGGAGGAAAGAGGAGTGACTGGTGGAATGATGAAGTAAAGGGTGTGATAAAAGAGAAAAAGGTAGTTTATGAGAGGTTTTTACAAAACAGAAGTGTTATAAGAAGAGCAGAGTATATGGAGAGTAAAAGAAAGGTGAAGAGAGTAGTGAGAGAGTGCAAAAGGAGAGCAGATGATAGAGTGGGAGAGGCACTGTCAAGAAATTTTAATGAAAATAAGAAAAAATTTTGGAGTGAGTTAAACAAGTTAAGAAAGCCTAGGGAAAGTATGGATTTGTCAGTTAAAAACAGAGTAGGGGAATTAGTAGATAGGGAGATGGAGGTATTAGGTAGATGGCGAGAATATTTTGAGGAGCTTTTAAATGTTGAGGAAGAAAGGGAGGCGGTAATTTCATGCACTGGCCAGGGAGGTATACCATCTTTTAGGAGTGAAGAAGAGCAGAATGTAAGTGTGGTGGAGGTACGTGAGGCATTACGTAGAATGAAAGGGGGTAAAGCAGCTGGAACTGATGGGATCATGACAGAAATGTTAAAAGCAGGGGGGGATATAGTGTTGGAGTGGTTGGTACTTTTGTTTAATAAATGTTTGAAAGAGGGGAAGGTACCTAGGGATTGGCGGAGAACATGTGTAGTCCCTTTATATAAAGGGAAAGGGGACAAAAGAGATTGTAAAAATTATAGAGGAATAAGTTTACTGAGTATACCAGGAAAAGTATACGGTAGGGTTATAATTGAAAGAATTAGAGGTAAGACAGAATGTAGGATTGCAGATGAGCAGGGAGGCTTCAGAGTGGGTAGGGGATGTGTAGATCAAGTGTTTACATTGAAGCATATATGTGAACAGTATTTAGATAAAGGTAGGGAAGTTTTTATTGCATTTATGGATTTAGAAAAGGCATATGATAGAGTGGATAGAGGAGCAATGTGGCAGATGTTGCAAGTATATGGAATAGGTGGTAAGTTACTAAATGCTGTTAAGAGTTTTTATGAGGATAGTGAGGCTCAGGTTAGAGTGTGTAGAAGAGAGGGAGAATACTTCCCGGTAAAAGTAGGTCTTAGACAGGGATGTGTAATGTCACCATGGTTGTTTAATATATTTATAGATGGAGTTGTAAAAGAAGTAAATGCTAGGGTGTTCGGGAGAGGGGTGGGATTAAATTTTGGGGAATCAAATTCAAAATGGGAATTGACACAGTTACATTTTGCTGATGATACTGTGCTTATGGGAGATTCTAAAGAAAAATTGCAAAGGTTAGTGGATGAGTTTGAGAATGTGTGTAAAGGTAGAAAGTTGAAAGTGAACATAGAAAAGAGTAAGGTGATGAGGGTATCAAATGATTTAAAGAAAAATTGGATATCAAATTGGGGAGGAGGAGTATGGAAGAAGTGAATGTTTTCAGATACTTGGGAGTTGATGTGTCGGCGGATGGATTTATGAAGGATGAGGTTAATCATAGAATTGATGAGGGAAAAAAGGTGAGTGGTGCGTTGAGGTATATGTGGAGTCAAAAAACGTTATCTATGGAGGCAAAGAAGGGAATGTATGAAAGTATAGTAGTACCAACACTCTTATATGGATGTGAAGCTTGGGTGGTAAATGCAGCAGCGAGGAGACGGTTGGAGGCAGTGGATATGTCCTGTTTAACCCTTTGAGGGTTTTGGTTGTACTAGTACGTCTTACGCGTAGGGGTTTTTGACGTACTAGTACGCATAAATTCTAGCAGCCTCAAATCTAGTGGGAGAAAGCTAGTAGGCCTTCATATGAAAGAATGGGTCTATGTGGTCAGTGTGCACAGTCTAAAAAAAATCCTGCAGCACACAGTGCATAATGAGAAAAAAAAAACTTTGACCATTTTTTTGGAATAAATCAGCGACTTTGCAGTGTATTTTCGTATGGTATTTATTGTTGTATTCTAGTTTTCTTGGTCTCATTTTATAGAATGGAAGACATATTACAGAAATTGAGATGATTTTGACTGGTTTTACAATGAAAAGGGGCCTTGAAATTGAGCTCAGAGTAGCAGAAATGTTCGATTTTTACCAAACTTCAAAAGTAAACAAATCGTGCCAAGCGTGCAATACACGTCAACTGGTGAGTCTAATATTCTTTCACAAGTGCACCAATAATATTTATACCATTTTTTACACTAATGCAGTAGTCTGCATAACAGTAAATCTATATTTTTTGTGAGAATAAAAATTCAAAGTGGAAAGCAAAAGAATATAAGAGGGGCCTTGAGACGTGACTAATGACTAGAGGAAATGTCATTTTAGTGCCAGGAATGTCTTTCTTGTTTATTCTGGACCCTATTTGGAAATTGGCATCTTTTGAAATTTGTGTGAAATTGGCAAAATTGCTAAATTCTGACCACTGTACTGGATAGTTGAATTTCATAAATGGGTGGTTTCTTGCACCCATTCGATAGAAAAAAATGGAGTTCTAGCGAATATTCATTTTTTTTTGTCGACTAGTACAGTGAAATTGGCCGAAAATGGGGCTCAAAGTGGGCAAAATCACCGATGCGTAAACATCACTGAGACCGCTAAATTTGTTAGAGCATAATTCCGTAAGTTTTCTATCAAATTTCAAACTTTTGGTGTCTTTATGATCGGGAAAAGATTCTCTATCTTTTCATAAGAGAAAATAATTTTTTTTTTTTTTTAAATTTGGCCGACCCTGAGAACGAGTTTCGGAGAGGGCCTGTCGACCCTCAAA